CAAGGCTTGGTTTTTTTAAAGTAGAATTTTCCAACTGTTATACAAGGTCTGGATTTTTGAAAGTTCAGTTTTCAACTGTTATACAAGGCCTGGATTTTTGAAAATTCAGTTTTTAACTGTTATACAAGGCCTGGATTTTTGAAAACTGTTATACTAGGCCTGGATTTTTGAAAATTCAGTTTTCAACTGTTATACAAGGCATGGATTTTTTTAATTTCAGTTTCAACTGGATTTTTGAAAATTCAGTTTTCAACTGTTATACAAGGCCTGTTTTTTAATATTTTCGTTTTAAAATCGTTGATGAAAATAATAAAAAATAATCCTTCCTGTGTTCTTTTTCATTTTTTCGAATTATCATAGAATAGGCGGCATTGTTTGGAAATTTGTTTTGTGTTTTTGTCTGCATTCGTTTTATTTTTTTTTTGTTTGCTATTGTGAGGAGTGGCCATTGTTATCACCAATTGACCCATATAAGTATGTACGAATGTGTGTGTGTGCGTATGGACATCAGTATTGCACAGAAATTAATATGACTGAAGATGGTGTTCGTGACGGTTGGTTGTTCGTATGGAAGGCTGCCTGCCTGACTGACTGGCTGTCAGCTAGAAAATCATAGAGCCAGATGTTTCTGTTGTTGTTGGAAAAAAATCTACAGCATTTGCGGCCCTGCTAATCTCCTAGATTTAGAAATGACGGCAGATTGTAAATTTATTTTTTTATTCCCTCGATTGGGTCTCAAAACGCATAATGAAACAAAACTTTTGATTAAACAAAAAAAAAAAAAAAAAAAAATATATTGAAAAAATAGGCCTATAATTTTTTTCTCATTTGATTTCAAACAATGAAAATTACAACAAAAACGAAAAAAAAATCGCAACAGCCATTCGAAATCATACAAAGGTTCTAATTGTAATTTATTGTAGGCCAAGTCAAAACTTTGTCAATGGACAATGACTGGACCCCTGATTATGACTGCGAATGCAAAGCCCATAGAGAACGAACTCACAGTCAGTCAAGTGGTTGAGCACACACATACACTCACACACACACTCTGGAAAATAATTGATTAACAATTAAATCATCGTCGTCTCCGATAGATTAGTTCATGTTGGGGAAAACGAATGGCTTTGTTTGCACAGACTTTTCTATTGTTTTCGCATACGAATAGACGAAGAAGAAGAAGCAGAAGTTTGTTGTCAAGTGTTTCGAAATATGTCAATATGACATAAATTACAAAACGACAGAACAAAAACTAAAACAATAATAATAAATAATACTAGTTATTGTTCGATTTTGACAGCTGATAAAATGAAATATATGTGTGTATATTTATGGGCCATCATTGATCATTCCTTGTTTTCTGCGGAAACAAAGGGAACAATTGAAAATGTTGTTTTTGGGAAACGAAATTTCACAAGGTGGATTTCCTTAAATGGAATAGAGAAAACAAAAAATTTACTAATAAAAATCCATTTATTTCATCTTTACTAAAATTTGAAGAAAAAAATCCCGCCTTGGGATTTTTCTGTAGATACCCAGAAATTCAATTTCCCAAAGTATTAATGTCTCAGATTCCAACCGATTTTCACGAAACTTATCACACATCATTTTAGGCTTAATTCAGTACGTTGTGCCAAATTTCGTGCAAATCAAAAGATAAATAGGGAGCTATATCTAAATCTGGACCGATTTTCAGGAAACTTAACACACATCATACTAGACCTAATTCATTGCGCTGAGCCAAATTTCGTGCAAATCGGAATATATATAGGTACTTTGGTAGCCCATTTACATTAAATCGGACGAAAATATATATGGGAGCTATATCTAAATCTGAACCGATTTTCAGGAAACTTAACATACATCATTCGAGACCTAATTCAAAACGTTACGCCAAATTGCATGCAATTCGAATGATATATAGGTACTTTGGTAGGCCATTTACATTAAATCGGACGAAAATATATATGGGAGCTATATCTAAATCTGTACCGATTTTCAGGAAACTTAACGCACATCTTACTAGACCTAATTCATTACGCTGTGCCAAATTTCGTGCAAATCGGAAGATATATAGGGACTTTGGTGCATGAATTACCTAAAATCGGACGATAATATATATGGGAGCTATATCTAATTGTTAACCGATTTTCAGGAAACTTAACACACATCATACTAGACCTAATTCATTACGCTGTTGCAAATTTCGTGCAAATCGGAAGAAATATAGGTACTTTGGTAGGCCATTTACCTTAAATCGGACGAAAATATATATGGGAGCTATATCTAAATCTGAACCGATTTTCACGAAACTTAGCACACATCATTCTAGGCTTAATTCAGTACTCTTTGCCAAATTTCGTGCAAATCGAAAGATATTTAGGGTCTTTGGTGCACCATTTACTTTAAATCGGACGAAAATATATATGGGAGCTATATCTAAATCTGGACCGATTTTCAGGAAACTTAACACATATCATTCTAGGCATAATTTATTACGTTATGCCGAATTTCGTGCAAATCAAAAGATTTATAGGGACTTTAGTGCATAAAATATCTAAAATCGGACGATAATATATATGGGAGCTATATCTAATTGTTAACCGATTTTCAGGAAACTTAACACACATCATACTAGACCTAATTCATTACGCTGTTGCAAATTTCGTGCAAATCGGAAGAAATATAGGTACTTTGGTAGGCCATTTACCTTAAATCGGACGAAAATATATATGGGAGCTATATCTAAATCTGAACCGATTTTCACGAAACTTAGCACACATCATTCTAGGCTTAATTAAGTACGTTGTGCCAAATTTCGTGCAAATCGAAAGATATTTTGGGACTTTGGTGCACAATTTACCTTAAATCGGATGAAAATATTTATGGGAGCTATATCTAAATCTGAGCCGATTTTCACGAAACTTAGCACACATCATTCTAAGCTTAATTCAGTGCGCTGTGCCAACTTTCGTGCAAATCGAAGAATATATAGGGTCTTTGGTGCACCATTTACCTTAAATCGGACGAAAATATATATGGGAGCTATATCTAAATCTGAATCGATTTTCACGAAACTTAGCACACATTATTCTAGGCTTAATTCTATACGTTGTGCCAAATTTTGTGCAAATCGAAAGATATTTATGGACTTCGGTGCACTATTTACCTTAAATCCGACGAAAAAATATATAGGAGCTATATCTAAATCTGGACCGATTTTCACGAAACTTAGCACACATCATTATAGGCTTAATTCAGTACGTTGTGCCAAATTTCGTGCAATTCGAAAGATATTTGGAGACTTCGGTGCACCATTTACCTTAAATCGGATGAAAATATTTATGGGAGCTATATCTAAATCTGAACCGATTTTCACGAAACTTGGCACACATCATTTTAGGCTTAAATTAGTACGCTATGCCAAATTTCGTGGAAATCGAAAGATATTTAGGGACTTCGGTGCACCATTTACCTTAAATCGGACGAAAATATATATGGGAGCTATATCTAAATTTAAACCGATCTTTCTGAATTTCAATAGTGTTCGTCCTTGGGCCAAATGAATAAACATGAGTTAATTTTTTTTTTGTTTTTACTAGTTTTAGTTATTTTTTACTCAAAAAAAATTTTTTTTTGACAAATTCGAATTTTAAAAAATATTTCCGGTTTTTGGGGATTCTTAAAAAATTTACCATATTAATTTTTTTAAATGAAATAAATATATTCCGTTTTATTTTAATTAATTTTGATTTCTACACACTGTTTTCTAATTTTTCCGATTTTTTTTCTTCTTCTTCTTTTCATTCTCATTCCAGGACCTTGAAATTATCCTGGCAAGGACAAAGCCAAATCAAAATATTGTGTTCATATTAAACTAAGCTCAAAACCAAAGTGAAGAAAAACTAAAAAAAAAACTTCAAAAAAATTCGGAAGAAAATCCCGATATCCATTACCAAAGTGTTTTTATTTCATTTGCAACGCCAAGCAGCTGCCTGAAATTTTCACCGCATCATTGTGGGGTCCAAATACAAATGATTACAACTACAACGCATCAAATTCCAACGAAGAGATTTACAGTTCAACTCACTGACAGTGACGGCGTGACAACGAATTGCCTTAGTCTAAAGGACTTCGTAGCGAAGCGTAAAATTTATACCTTTAAGCGTTTGAATCACGAACCAACAACAACTGCTGGCCTCGCACTAGTGCCGATTTCGACAACAACATCGATACGAATTATACAGCTGATATTACAACAACAATTGTTGCACAGTAATTACGCTGACGATAAGCGGAGTTTGAGTTTGAGTTCGCATAGCGGAGGTGTCAGTGGGTTAAGGAGGTGTCATCATCAACAACCATCTGTGGATAAGTGAAATTCTGTTGTGTTCTGTTCTTCCCCTCCCGCTCAACTCCAAAATCAACAACAATAAAGACAACATCTCCAGGGCAATCAAATTTGGGCCACATCCATTTGTCCCCATAGCCATTGTTACGCTTGTTGTTGTTGCCGTTGTCAGCCATCGCCGATACTCTCTCAAGCGGTCATCAAGGCCAATTCGAAGAGTGCAGTTGTTGACCAAATATTGATCAGCTGCAAAGAAGCTGTCTTAACTGACTCGGAACCGGTTTAGAAGAAGGCATTAAAAACCGGAGCAAAAAAATTTAAAAACCAAAGATTTGAAATTATCCACCCCCACCAAGTGAGAGCCGACAGAGAAAAGAGGAGAAAGAGAGTGATTGAGAAAATCAAGTCAATTTCTGAACTGAACTTTTTCCTTTGGCTAACTGCGGGTTTGAGGCTTTACCTTTTTGTGGGCCGCTTTTACAAGCCAAGCCAATTTCCAGTTGAAAACGTGTTTCTCTTTCTGTGGCCATAATCAATTCAATTCACTTCGAACCGATATTGAGGTTTTATAGCCAACTTTGTTGTATTGCGGTCGCCTGCCTGCCTGTCTGTCTGTCTTCATTGTTGTTGGTGGTGTCGCTTTCGTCGTTGCTGTTGCAGTTTTTTTTTGTTCTGTTCGTGTTTTCTTTTTCACGTTTTGTTTTTTTTTATTGAAAACTGGATTTTCCATCAGATGTTCTCAATGGTTGATTGTTATGCAGATATGGGACAAATCGGACAAGATGTAAGTAGATATATACACACACTCACTTATGAATATAAATATTAAAATATGGAGAGAATTTTTTTCTGAAAAAAAAAATAAATTTTTACAAGACCCATTGTAGACGTGAATATTTTAAAGAATATTTTTTCAAGTCTACACAAGGGGTGGATTTTTTAACGAATATTTTTTCAAGTCTCCAAAAGTTGTTGATTTTTTAACGAATATTTTTTTAAGTCTCCACAAGGCGTGGATTTTTTAAAGATTATTTTTTCAAGTCTCCACAAGGCGTGGATTTTTTAAAGAATATTTTTTCAAGTCTCCACAAGGCGTGGATTTTTTAAAGATTATTTTTTCAAGTCTCCACAAGGCGTGGATTTTTTAAAGAATATTTTTTCAAGTCTACACAAGGCGTGGATTTTTTAAAGAATATTTTTTCAAGTCTACACAAGGCGTGGATTTTTTAAAGAATATTTTTTCAAGTCTACACAAGGCGTGGATTTTTTAAAGAATATTTTTTCAAGTCTACACAAGGCGTGGATTTTTTAAACATTATTTTTTCAAGTCTTCACAAGGCGTGGATTTTTTAAACATTATTTTTTCAAGTCTCCACAAGGCGTGGATTTTTTAAAGATTATTTTTTCAAGTCTCCACAAGGCGTGAATTTTTCAGAATATTTTTTCATGTCTCCACAAGGCGTGGATTTTTTAAAGATTATTTTTTTAAGTCTCCACAAGGCGTGGATTTTTTAAAGATTATTTTTTTAAGTCTCCACAAGGCGTGGATTTTTTAAAGATTATTTTTTTAAGTCTCCACAAGGCGTGGATTTTTTAAAGATTATTTATTTAAGTCTCCACAAGGCGTGGATTTTTTAAAGATTGTTTTTTTAAGTCTCCACAAGGCGTGGATTTTTTAAAGATTATTTTTTTAAGTCTCCACAAGGCGTGGATTTTTTAAAGAATATTTTTTCGATGCCCAGACAAGGTGTGAATTTTTCAAATAATATTTTTTCAAGTCTCCACAAGGCGTGAATTTTTTTAAGATTATTTTTTCAAGTCTCCACAAGGCGTGGATTTTTTAAACATTATTTTTTAAGTCTCCACAAGGCGTGGATTTTTTAAACATTATTTTTTCAAGTCTCCACAAGGCGTGAATTTTTTTAAGATTATTTTTTCAAGTCTCCACAAGGCGTGGATTCTTTAAAGATTATTTTTTCAAGTCTCCACAAGGCGTGGATTTTTTAAAGATTATTTTTTCAAGTCTCCACAAGGCGTGGATTTTTTAAAGAATATTTTTTCAAGTCTTCCCTGAGGCGTGGATTTTTTAAAGAATATTTTTTCAAGTCTTCCCTGAGGCGTGGATTTTTTAAAGAATATTTTTTCAAGTCTTCCCTGAGGCGTGGATTTTTTAAAGATTATTTTTTCAAGGCTTCCATAAGGCGTGGGTTTTTTAAAGATTATTTTTTTAAGTCTCCACAAGGCGTGGATTTTTTTAAAAAATATTTTTTCAAGGGTCAAGCTAGGCGTGAATTTTTTAAAAATTATTTTTTCAAGTCTCCACAAGGCGTGGAGTTTTTAAAGAATATTTTTTCAAGTCTCCACAAGGCGTGGATTTTTTAAAAAGTATTTTTTTTTTTTGAAACATTCCGATCTAAACGCAACGCTTAATTAATTAAATGCAGACATTTATATGCAAACACACACCCATGCACACAAATTCCTATTTTATTATCGTAAATAAAGTGCTGATGTCTTAGGGGGGCAATTTTTTATAGTTGCATTTAAAATGTGTCTGTTTTGAAACAAAAAAACCTTACCAAGAAAAATGTTGTCCTAGGTTTGGTCGTAATTTTTGTACAAAAAATAATAAAAAATTATAAAAAAATGTCATTATTTTTTTTCACAAAATTGTTCAGCATCGTAAAAATAGTAGCGTTCAAAATAAAGTTGTAAATTTTTGAATTTTAAAAATAATATTAAGTAATTTTACAATTTTGTAAAGACAGTGGGACTAAATTTAAAAAAAAATCTATAAGAAAAAAGGCCCGAACATAATTTCCTAGTCTTGGAGAAATTATTCAAATAAAATATTATCTATGGTAGTATTTCGGATTTCTAAAACTTTTGTTTGTTTGAGAAGTGAAAAATACTTTTCAATACCTTGTAAATGATTTCAAAATTTCTATGATACCAATATCAACAACACACTGTCCCCTAAACTAGCAGTTGTAGTTTTTGTTACTAATTGAAATTATTTTGCGTTCTAGAAATTTGAAACATTTACTACCGACCGCCAGCCGGCTGGCCGGTTGCCTAGCATGGAAATAAAGCCGTCATGAGGCAATTGCAACTATAGCTACCGCCACGACCATAACCATAGCCACCATCCATCCACCCGAGTGCACAGCATCTCATATTCCGCTTCGATGCAGCGGATGCTGCAGCCACAGCCACAGCAGAGTTACCTATAACCGCATTTACGAGTTTATTTTATTAGCCCAGCACGACAATTCATATTTATTGTTGATGTTGCTGTTGTTGTTGTTGGAATTAGAAGAGAGCAATAACAACAACAAAAAATAAATAAATTTATGCACTTTGCAATTGCAATAACTGATGTCGTCCTCGTCGTGAATTTTATATTTTTACGAGTTCGCCGATCATAAACATTATTGTATTTTGTTCCTCAATATAGAAGCTGGGCTATATAATTTTTATAGCTCCGACTACTTTGTGGTGTTATTAATTTAAAAAATATTCTTTGGAAAATCTACGCCTAGTCTGGGCCTTGAAAAAATATTTATTGAAAAATCCAAACCAGTAAGGAAAGTAGTAAAGTTGAACGGGGCCGACTAACAGATTGAATCCTAACAGACGTCGCATATTTGAAGGACCATTAACGTGAAATTAAAGATGTCATTATGCAACCTATACTAAATTTGGTCAGATATAGAGTTGCTTTTTACAATCAGACAAAATTATGTAAATAAATTTTATTTTAAATTGCATCGGAACCGATTTTCACGAAATTTAACACACATCGTTCTACACTTAATTCAGTGCGCTATGCCAAATTTCGTGCAAATCGAAATATATTTAGGGACTTTGGTACACCATTTACATAAAATCGGACCAAAATATATTTGGGAGCTATATCTAAATCTGGACCGATTTTCAAGAAACTTAACACATATCATTCTAAACCTAATTCATTACGCTATGCCAAATTTCGTGCAAATCGAAAGATATATAGGGACTTTGGTGTACCATTTACCTTAAATCGGTCGAAAATATATATGGGAGCTATATCTAAATCTGAACCGATTTACACGAAACTTAGCGCACATAATTATGAACTCCATTTAGTACGCTATGCCAAATTTCGAGCAAACCGAAAGATATATAGGGACCTTGGCGCACCATTTACCTTAAATCGGACGAAAATATATATGGGAGCTATATCTTAATCTGAACCGATTTTTCCCAATTTTAATAGTGTTCGTCTTTGGGCCAAATAAGTAACCTATGCCAAATTCCATCCAATTCGGATTATAAATGCGACCTGTACTTTGTTTACAATTTAACATCAACAGATGGACGGACGGATGGACGGACATGCATAAATCGTCTCAGAAAGTGATTCTATACATATTCTCAAAAGGAACCATGTTTCTATCTCTTTTCCTTTTGCCTGTTACAAACATATGCACAAAGACGTAAAAACTCCACGCCTTGTCTGGATCTTTAAAAATATTCTCTTTAAAAACCCACGCCTTTTGGAACCCTTGAAAAAATATTCTCTTTAAAAACCCACGCCTTTTGGAACCCTTGAAAAAATATTCTCTTTAAAAACCCACGCCTTTTGGAACCCTTGAAAAAATATTCTTTAATAAATCCACGCCTTATGGAACCCTTGAAAAAATATTCTTAAAAAATCCACGCCTTGTGGAGACTTGAAAAAATATTCTTAAAAAATCCACGCCTTGTGGAGACTTGAAAAAATATTCTTTAATAAATCCACGCCTTATGGAACCCTTGAAAAAATATTCTTTAATAAATCCACGCCTTATGGAACCCTTGAAAAAATATTCTTTAATAAATCCACGCCTTATGGAACCCTTGAAAAAATATTCTTTAATAAATCCACGCCTTATGGAACCCTTGAAAAAATATTCTTTAATAAATCCACGCCTTATGGAACCCTTGAAAAAATATTCTTTAATAAATCCACGCCTTATGGAACCCTTGAAAAAATATTCTTTAATAAATCCACGCCTTATGGAACCCTTGAAAAAATATTCTTTAATAAATCCACGCCTTATGGAACCCTTGAAAAAATATTCTTTAATAAATCCACGCCTTATGGAACCCTTGAAAAAATATTCTTTAATAAATCCACGCCTTATGGAACCCTTGAAAAAATATTCTTTAATAAATCCACGCCTTATGGAACCCTTGAAAAAATATTCTTTAATAAATCCACGCCTTATGGAACCCTTGAAAAAATATTCTTTAATAAATCCACGCCTTGTGTGGGCCTTGAAAAAATAATCTTTAAAAAATCCACGCCTTATGGAACCCTTGAAAAAATATTCTTTAATAAATCCACGCCTTATGGAACCCTTGAAAAAATATTCTTTAATAAATCCACGCCTTATGGAACCCTTGAAAAAATATTCTTTAATAAATCCACGCCTTATGGAACCCTTGAAAAAATATTCTTTAATAAATCCACGCCTTATGGAACCCTTGAAAAAATATTCTTTAATAAATCCACGCCTTATGGAACCCTTGAAAAAATATTCTTTAATAAATCCACGCCTTATGGAACCCTTGAAAAAATATTCTTTAATAAATCCACGCCTTATGGAACCCTTGAAAAAATATTCTTTAATAAATCCACGCCTTATGGAAGCGTTGAAAAAATATTCTTTAATAAATCCACGCCTTATGGAAGCGTTGAAAAAATATTCTTTAATAAATCCACGCCTTATGGAACCCTTGAAAAAATATTCTTTAATA